TTCCGTCTCGGGCCGCTCTTGGGCTCACGCTCCTGTCCCCGTCGCGCCCGTGGCCCCTGCCAGATCGCCCACCCTCGCGCTCACGGTCGTCGCGCGGCCTGTCACGCCTGTCGCGAGAACGCGAGCGGTAGCGTCTGTTGCGGTCGTCCCTGTCGTCCCGGCGGTGGTTGTCGCGGCGTTCGCGATCGCCTCTGTCGGCGTCGCGGTCTCGGGGCGGGCGGTCGGCGTCGCGGGGGGGGCCACGGGGGGGTCGCCTGTCGGAAGCGCCGTCGCGGTCTCGTCTTCTGTCCATCTTGGGTGGTTTGTGGAAGCAGAGCTGCACGGGCTGGTGGGTGTAAATAATGGTGATGGCAATTAAGTCGGAAGATGGAGAGAGAAAATGTCAGTCAAGGTTTACAAGTGCACCTTACTTAGCAGAGAGGTTAGCTTAGTGGCCCGCCGTAGAAGAAGTTTCCATGCACATTCGCTTTTGGACACCTGAGAAAGATGGCGGTGTGGCTGTGTCGGTGGCTGGAAATCTGTGAACGGTGGAGCACTGATAAAAATCATACACAATGAGGCAATGCATGTTCTGGAGAGATGGCCCGGCGTGCTTGAGAAAAGAACAACGCCTCAGCTCAGTAAACGCCTCAGCTCAGTACTCAAATCTAGGTCGTCCAGTACAGAGGAAGCAATGGGGGCTAGGGAAGATCATGGTGTGCGTCAACGCAGTGGCGGGCACAAAACGCACACGTGAGACAAGTGAATATATGGAAGGAGTTCAGCCGGGCCGTCTTGGAACAGCCAATACTCGGGAAGATTGGTGTCTGCTTAAGCCTGTTGGCACCTTGGGATTCCAGTAGTTCAATATTCTATGGGCGTGGGACATCATCTCTAGGGCCTATTCAGACGATATTCTATCCCGACGCAACTCGTCCGCTCCAAAAATACATCTTAAACACCATCCATCCTCCGCTCGATCCCCATCACGTACTTCTTCCTCTTCACAGCTATGGCAAGCCACAGCAGCAATGAAAAAGGTTCGCGTCGCCCAGAGGCAGTGTGATACTGGGGACACTGTGGAGAGCTACATTTGCAAGCAAAGAGGAAGCTCTCCTGAGTTCAAAAATAAAATTAGTCATTGTTCCTTCCGTAGAAGGATTTCAGAGACTAATCTGAAAAGAACAGATACTACACTTGATCTGTAGAGAATGAATTAGCAAAGATTCCAGAGGTTGAAGTTGAAAGTTTGCATACCTAAGCCAAAAGGCAAAGAGAGCTAAAGAAGAAAGAGAGAAAACAGGTAAAGAGAGGATGGGAGGCTTTGTTTTATACTCTGTCGACTCCAGCGGGGATCCACTTTAGGCAGGTCAGGACCCACTGGGGGCTTGAGTGAATGGATACGGTGAGGCCAATCACTATTCGGGAATTGCTCAACAAGTCGCCTTGCCCAAACGGACACTTGGGTGGCTTACGAAGGCAACAGCGGCCAGTTTTCGGCCGAGTTCAGCAGCTCGGCCATGTGTGGTATCTCGGAGATTTGGACCCACGAACGCTGTCCAGGTCCTGCCGCCAGGACAGCGTTCGGATCTTCCTCGGGTAGCTGTGCCTCGAACGAAGCTTGAGGGATGTCAGAAGCTCGGAGAATACTCACTTGTACAGTTGTTCGAGAACTGGGATGGGATGGTTGTCACGGTCAAAGAGGATGAGCCCATGGCTCCATCAACCACCTTGCAGTCATACTTGATATGGTGCCAAGAATGTATCGAAAGACTCCTTGCTTTCCCCCGCCTCGTGGTCACTGTTCAAGAGTTTGGTGTACGAGGTCGCTGGCAGCACGGTGATCAAACATCAAAGCCGAATGAATGTTAGGAGCTCGAGTCAGCCTCCTGACTGGAGTTCCACGCATATACTTTGATACTACACAAGTCTCTGTCATCGTACATAATGCTGTTCCCGGACCCAGAGTCTCCCGAGTTGCTGGTTGTACACGAGTGAACACCAACTCAGAAGCAGCAAGCAGCTCTGTGGACGACTGAAAATTGATTGGAATGGGCCCTGCGGACCAGACTGGAAACAGAGCCTCCCGAGCTACAAGCAGTGAACCATGGCTCTGGTCTGGAAACACTTGAATTTCATCTTGACCATTTGGGGGGAACAACTGCGCCTCAAACAGCTGCAAACACATTCGCGTGTAAGAGTGAGGGAGGGCATTAAATTCGGGAATGACCTTAACATGATTCTCAGCCCTAAGACCACCACGGTCAAGACGCCCGTGATAACCAGCAGGACGTTATGAGCATATTCTGAGAGGCGCAAATCGCAAATCGATACTGGTGAGGCCCGGGTCATCGTGCCGTCACACCAAGTGGTTATCCACGGCGAGTCACTCCATTAGCCACACGGGGCACCGAAAGCATGATTGACAATCATAGCGTGTGACACTGTCAGGCAGAACACAAGCTGTCACGTATAGGAGGGTATGCAATACCAGACCATGTTCCAAGATCACGATGAGGTGAGAAGGTTCTGGTAATGGTCTCTCCTGACGAAGATCGAGTTGAATAGGGGCCCAGCATGGATGTCGATCTGTTTCGCGTGTCGCAGCGTCGACTGGGCCACCCCCATCAGCCCCGGAGGCGCTGGGCTTCCCGGCCACGGAGGGGGAAGGGACGGCGCGCCGCGGCTGATGGCTCCAGGCCTCTTTGCCCCCAAGCCACCCTGAGGGTGAGGCGACCCCACCGCGTACGCAGACACGTACGCAGCCCACGTCTCCTGCCCCAGATGTGTTCCTCCCTCGTTCCGCCGGCGTGGCTCCCTTGTGAAACATAACGGCAAGTGCTGTGCATTACGCCTGACGATCTGGCATCTAAGAATCCAGTAGCAATGAACTGTCAGCAGTCCGTCAGGTGCTCCCCAGGTGTGGGAATGCTTGACACGAAGTCCGGGATTTTCGTTCCTCGCCTGAGCACCTCACCTAGGTAGGAACCTACCTAGGCAGGTATCCAGGCCAGTAAGCTTTGGTAGTGCCTGAGCCAAAAATGGTCGAACTGGGAGGGAGCCCATTGAACGAAGAACGATGAAGGCAGCATGACCCACGGGCCATCACGACACTGGCATTGAGGGAAGAGCACCTGAGGTGAGGTCAGCACTGCCTTCGACGCTAAATAGGTACATAGTACCAGCCCTGTTGCTGTTGCAGTGGAGACCTGCCTGCTTGTAGTAGGGCCCTTGAATTTTGGTGCCTATGAGGTATTGGCCCATTTGCAATACGTGGCCAGGTACAACCGAGCTCCCAAATAGCGACGCGGCACGCCGAGTCGGCTCTGGGGTGCCTTTGGCAAGGCGTGGCACGGAGTACAGGCCACAGGCCACAGGCCACAGGACAGAGCACGAGCACAGGTCCCTCCCCATCAGCATCAGCCATCCAAGTCCCCTCCCAAGACACGAACAAGCTTGCCAACACGGGCTGCGGATTACGGATTGCGGATTGCGGATTGCAGATTTGCCAGGGTCCCTCCCGCCATTGGCTTCACGGCGGCTTCGTCGGCCAGCTATCCATCTCCATCCTCATCGTTCTTCTCCTTCTCTGTCATACACGCTGGGGGAGACAATCCCCCCCCCTTCCCTCACTCACAACACACCGCACGAGGAGAGAGAGACAGAGAGTAGAGAGAGGCCCGGCCAGGTCAGCCCCCAGCCCAGACCAGCCAGCGCAACACCTCGGCCTCCACCCACTGGCTCTCTGCCCCCCAAACCATGAGCAACGACACGGTCGGCTCCCTTCTGGCTGACATCGCGAACTCCATCATCGACAGCCTACGTGTGCTGCAATGCGCCGACAAGTCCCAATGGGGCCCCGACGAGCATGAGCAGCGTCGCCGCCTCGAGCACGCGCTTGATGAGGCCAAGAAGGACTACCAGGAGCTATCCGTGCTTGTCAATGGCCAGCGCTATTATCAGTATGATCGCAAGGCGTGAGTGTCCCCCCACCCATGTGATTGCCACCCTTGCTATCACCACGGCCATTGCCTCTTGCTCTGGGAGCCTGACTGACCTCGAAAGCCGATTCTTTGAATGAGTTGTTGCGGCCTCAAGACCAATTTCCAATTTCACACCACAAATTTCCGCGACTGGGCTCGGCAAGGCGGCCCCATTAACCCCATCTGGGCTCGCGACACCCTTGACCTCCGCCGCCAACTCCATCGCGCTCAATGTCGTGCCGCTCGTCGCATCTTCGCTACGAAGCAGGAGGCTTCCTCGAGCCGCTGTCTCGGTGCGTTTCTCGTCTACCGCAAGCAGCGCGCAATGGACTCTGCGTGACCGCAAAAAGGCCGCCCAAGCGTCCAGGGCAGCCGTCCGGTGCGGTGTCTCCCGGTTAAGAATCAAAACAGCCTCCTCACGCCTCGTACACTGACCCAACGCACTGACATCGTCGCCGGGCTCGACGCTTGATCTTAAGGAGACAGCACACCGATTCAGTCGCTAACAACG